GGGCCATAGTAAAGAAAAGCAGGATACACTCATAATATTCTGAAAGGATAATGTAGCTTTTATTTAATTGGCAGGCACTGCATTGCTGGCAGGTAATAGATTTTCCATTTTAATCTATATAATGATATTCATAAAGTATAAAAGTTAGTGGGCCAATGAAAGGAATAATGGGAACTGAGACTGAACAAAAATCCCCATCCCTTACTGACCTCAAGCTAAAGACAAAACCCAGCAAAGGCAGTGAAGCATCAACCTGTACTGTACATGGGAACTTCCCTACAGTCCTGCACCTGCAGGCTTAGAAACAGATTTCATCCCCATGGTTTAGGAAAAGCTTGGCTCTCACCTTTCTTCCCAATGCATTTAAGCCGTCATGTCTCACAACATTTTTGGAAGCCATTTGTACTCAGATGGTGTAGGACACAAAATGGAAAGAGGCTGGATGTCTGTGTAAACCCAAAGATGATTGCTAATCCGTCACCCACACATCAGCTAACCCAAAATCATTAATCACAGAGAGCGCTACATGACAGTTTCAGAGCTTTTCTAAAAGGAAAGATGGAAGTAGTTTTGGAAAGTACTGTAGGAGTCTATTTTTCTTGCAGCAAATTTTCCCCCTATAAAATTGGTTGCGAATTCATCACCCACACATGCTTTCCTGAATTCTAGTAACATTTTACATTTATTGGCATGAGGTTCAGGATAAGTTGGCTTTGTTTCTCCTCCCCACTACCCTGAGGAGTTATTCTGTCCACAAGAAGAAATGGGCAAAGATGTTTAGCAGCAAGGATTGGAAGTTTAGCTGCTTATCTAGAAAAACACGGCATGCCTGAAGTCATGGCAATAAAGTCAGCAGGCAAAGGAGACTTCCTCCTGAGCCAGTACGGAACCACTGCTCCCTTCTGGCTCTCTGTGAAGCAGAAAAAGAAATATATCAGCCAACCTTTTCTGAACTTCAGAAATGGCTATTTCTTTTTCCTCTGGTGTCTTCTTGAGAAGATGAGCAAGCCCAGCAGTGCAGCAGTAGATAGCCTGGCTGATTCTGGCTGGGCAGTACTAAGCTAGTACCTGCTCTGGCAGGGGGATTGGACTAGATGATCTTTTGAGGTCCTTTCCAATCTCTAGCATACTGTGATACCGTGATACTGTGATAGTCTGCTCTGTGTATGATTTGGCATGGTCTTGATATCCTCCATTCTCTGTGTTGGTTAATACAGATGAATGGAACTAGTCCTGAGGATCGAGTTCAAAACCTATGTGTCTTTCAATTTTCATAAATCCACCTCCACAGATTTACACAGATCTAGGAGCCTACATTTTTAGGGTAGACTCTCAGGCTTTCTTCCTAGCAATAACCCTGTTATCTTACTCCTGCCTTTCTGGATATTGTGCTGTCACAAACACACAGTTTTTGTTCTTAGCTAACAAGTCCTTTTACACGGCAAAACAAACCTCCCCTGGTTCTCCTGTATCTTCCTCCTAAGACCACTTAGTGCACTTTGCCTGGTACTGTGATATAGTGTTTGTAGAAGCCCACTGTGTCTCATCCTCTCCAGCTGCCACATCCTCTGTGACCTCAGAGGCAAACTCTCCTGGTCTTACCATATAACCCCTATGGTTTTCATCCCTACACAAAGGTTTTCCTCTAGCCCAGCTTCACTTTATCAAGGCAATATTGGTTGTACTGCCTATGCATGAAGTGCCCAGTGTTGCATTGTCTGCATTTGAGTGGAGCGAACAATGCCCAAAGAAGCTGATTTTAAATTATATGATATATATGTTTGGAAAATTGCATTTTATTAGCAGTGTGGCTTTTGTATGTTCAAAAATTGGATTTAAAGGTGTTTTTTTCCTTAGCAATCTTGGTGATGCCATTCAAATCATAAGTGGAAGCAGTCTGATGTGAGTCACTTGACTTACAGAATCACAGGATTCAAATAGAACTATGAATTGCTGAGGAAACTTTTGAGACTGAAGCATCGTTAGTATCTTATAAATGTCTATTAATAGAACCCATCTTCATTGTGCACCCGATCTTAAACTGTAGACAAACATTCACAAGCAGTCTTAACACCTCTGTGCTCAGTCTCTTTGGCGGCATTGCTGGTCTAGATGAAAGGATTTTCTCAGTGAAAAAATATAGCTTGTGCTTTACAGGTTAGATTAGATTAATGGTCCTTTCCAGTCACAAAATCTATAAGGCTGTTCTTCTCTACTGTTGGTCTTTGAAGAATTTTTGATAGAGTTTTCTTCAAGCAGGACTGGCTTTCGTAACACCTGACTGGAATGCTTCAGTGGCAAGGGAGAGGAGATTCTGAAGCAGATCTAGGGATGAATGACCTGTTGATCTGCAAGAAAACTGGCTCATGTGGATGCATTAGATCAAAAGTGCTTGCACTGTGGAGTCCATGCATGCACTCACATCACAGACCTCTGGCTTGTCTGCACCAGACTAATACTCACTCAACTGCTATAGCATTTTTTGTCTCTGACATCCCACATGAATGGGGTTGCCTTTATGAAAACGACCTGCAAAGTAATAGCATTGTACTCTTCTGATTTCCTCCTTTAAAAAAACCTATGTGACACCTGACAATGGCAATGAACATCACTAATATACAATTTGCACAGCAGGATGTAGATCTCGTATTAAACCCCTTAGAAGTAAATATACAAATACTAAATAAAATTTATTTGCATGAATCGAAAGTCTCTATCACAATTCTTGTCAGTTCTGTGAAGCTACATTTGGGATTAATTTGGCCCACTACAATTATTTTCACATCTGAACATATCATAAAATCTCTAAAAGAGATAAATTAAACGGGGAAGAGCAGCACAAAAATTATTTACTATAAATTATGAAATAAAACAAGATAGCAAAGTAATCTCTGTGCAGATGAACCACTAAAATGTAATTAGTGAGACACTGCAAAAGACTGACTATACCTGAAATAGCTTTAACATGTCTTGAATAAGATACAATCTTGGCATATTTATAAAATCCCTGTTCAGCTCAACCAAAAAAAGGAAAAAAGGAAAGGGAAAGGGGAGAGAGGAAAAGGGGAAAGGCAAAAAGGGAAAGGGAGGGAAAGGAAGAAAAGAAAGGGAAAAGGAAAGGGAAAAGAAAGAGGAAGAAAAGGAAAAAAAAGAAAAAAGAAAAGGAAAAAGCATGCCAGAGAGATTGCTTTATGTGACTGGAAAGCTGAGAAGATTACTAATGGGATAAAAAACCTTATGTTATAGGTTACTAGTCTGAAGGCAGTCCAGTATCACAGTAGCCCAAAGCACTACTATTTCATATTTCAGATCAGATGATGATAGATGGATAGCCAGATGGAAAAAAGGAATTGAAATCCCAGGATTTAAAAACATGATTGCCTAAGTTAGGGTTCTAAACCAATGACCTAATTTTTGAGTCATGAATCACTGTCTTACTGAATTGGACCCTACCACTTCTCTGCAAGTAGGATTTTAGTCACCTACTTTCAAGAGCGACACCATAACTTAAGGTTGTATTCTCCCTTTCCATAATGATTCCCTGGATTTTATGTTTGCTAAACACAGCTATCTATGCTGTAATTTATTTTCATTTAATTAAATGGATGGAACTTTCTAAGTTAAAGAACACAATTAGGAACCTATAGGTTTTAACTTATGGAAGGAAGGAGAAAGACTCTTTCTGATATCTGTGTCTCTGTATGTGCCTCTACAGCACCTGCCTGGACACGCAGTGATGTCATCAGCATGGCAATCATTTAAATATACCCCTCCCAGCAACTAGAACTTTCACAGATGTTTATCAAAGTCACTTACCTGTAAAAAGCACAACAGAAAAAAAAAAAAAAAAAGCAGGGTTTTATACCATATCCAGAAGGTAAAGTTTGTATAAATTGGACCTGTCAGTAGAGGCTGATCTTACCTGTCAAGGTGGCACACATGAAACAAAAGACAAGTCTCTCAGGACAGAGATGTATTGGATGTTATAGACCAAAATGAACATGCTTGAATTGCAAAACAGAAGCTGAAGCAGCCAATAGAGAACAGCTGGAGCTGTGTAAGCCTCATGTGTCTCATACAACTAATTAAACATTCAGCCTTGTTTCATTACTGGCTGGTGCTCACATAAGCTCTTCAGTTTGGCCCTATTTAGGGAAAGCAATTGTAATCCAGTTTGGGATGGAGATGGCATCAGTGTATGCCAGAACCCACAACAGTTAATAAATGCTTTTAGCTCCTAGCTAGACAAAGGTAGTGAAGGATCTTTTTGCCACAGCCATTACTTGAGACCTGAGCCACTGGGAATTCAAGAGCACATCTAAGCAGCCAAACTCATTATGAAACAGCAGACGTGCTGCTTCAGCCGAGAGCTCACACACGGCACCAGCTAGATCTCTCAAGACATCCTCATGAGCCAGTTTCACCTGTCTTGTGCTGCAGGACTGCTGCCAGCTTCCCCCTCATAGTCTGGCTCCAGGAACATACAGCATTTACCACTTAGCCTTGTGACAGAGAGCATCTTACAAAGCTGAGCATCACCCCACCAAATTACATTGCTTCTTAAAGTACACCACTCTGCTGAGCTCTCCCCTGTTCATTGATGTCATGCTGGACTTGAGAGAAATATATGGATATACAATCAATAATGCCAGACTGGTAGCCTACAGAAGTCATGCCACTGCATGATGCCTTTTTTCTGTCTGGTATCAAAATGCATCAGCTGAAAGGGCCAAAATAGTGATACAAAATGGTTTTCTGTGTAGGCTGGAAAAGGCCGTTACCAACCACTCAGGAAAACCAGTTTCTGTATCTGTGCCATCCCTGTACTGAATGAGCTCAAAGGAAGAAAACAAGCGTTAAATGATGACAGAACAGCACTGTCGTTAGTTTGAGTTAAAATTAAGTTACCCCACAAAGGGTGCTTGAGGATTAATGTTTTCATGGTACTCTGCAAATGCAAGGACTTATTATAAGTTACAGACAGTGATAAAAATACTCACAATATTCCTCATGTGTTTCAACATTATTGTCAGACGGGTGTTCTCGTAGGATATGACTAATTGTACTCCAGGCTTATGATCAGTTGACTGAGGACCTAAAAAAGGCCAAAGAGTTTGATTTTAGAGTTAACAGCAGGAGTTCATCTGTAAAATATTGCACTACACAGGAACTAATGCATAAAAAGAATCGACTGTGTGCTTAAAGCAGGATTGAAATTAGAAAACGTGGATAAAGAGTGTGGTGGAAGAAAGTGGTCTGACAGGAAGTGCTCAATTTTTATACATTCTCAGTGAGATTTTTTTGTTGTTTGTTTTCTAACTGCCATCAATCTGAATTTCAGTGGGAAATTTATGCTTGAGTAACAAATAATTGGAGGGGGAGGGCTGGCAATCATTCATGACACGAGGCAGCATTGTTGCAAGTCTTCTCTCTGGTTAAAAACACTGGCTTTTTTCTTTTATTCTTCTCTAACAGAAATAAAAAAAAAAAAGGCAAAAATGCAAAAAAAGCAGGCTTCCAGACCAACTGCAAAACAACAGTTATAGAAACAACTTCTATATCTGTCACATATAAATTCTCCCTTCTTCATTCTGTATTTTTTCTGTTCCAGGCTGCTTTTCATGCAACCCATTGCTATCATACATTTTTCTACTAAGATGCATTTACAGAGTTTGATTATGTTCCCACTGAAAAAAAAAAACACAACATTTTTCAGTTTCCAAGCCAGAAAGATCAGTCTCATAATGTGGAAGAAATGACTAAGCATATCCTGTTCCTTCTTTCTGCTGGAGGCACTGAGCCAGCTGTCTTCACTGCTAAAAAGGTGTGTCCTTGAAGTTGGGTAAGTAATGTGAATTACCTGCCCCACAGAGACAGCAGTGGAAATACAGAAGGCCTTCCCCACAGTATGCCAGGTAATGCAGAACACAACAACCTCTCCTCAATATCTATCTGACCTTCTTTGCAGTGTTAAGCAAGGAGGAGGGTGGACATAAGCCATTTTGTGCCACTTGCTTATAGACCTAGGGTTCTCCACATGTGGTCATCATCAAAAACAGTCCATACACTGCTGTGTGAACTATACTGGTTTTACTTATGCAAATAGGGTTTCATTCAATTAGACCAAAGATGTGTTACAACTGTTATTATGTATTCATCATACCGAGAGAAATAAGAACTCCATCCTGCTAACCTTACAACACAATAGTGATTCCCCGTGAGCTGGGCTCTGTTCTGCCTGCCTCCCTGTTAAAGAAGTAGCTAACCTTGAGACCTCAGACAGAAAAGTCCTGCTCCCCTGCATGCACACTGGGATCTGCCACTGACACACCAGTCTTAAACCCTCTGCAGGGTGAGGTAATGACATGAGACAGAACAGTATAGTCATTATTAATTCTTTAAATAGAAACATATCTTTTAAGAAGAGGAATGAATGAGAAAGGATGATAATGAAAGTTACTATCACAAGCAAGGGTTATGCACTAGCAAGAAGAGGCTTTTTTAGAGAGTATTGCTACTGTTCATTCTCAATAGCAGACAGGATTCCCATGTCTTCCTTTCAGCCTTAGCAGACACCTGTGCACTCTCTGTCATGCTCTTGCTCTCTTTTCCACATGTACATTGCAGCTCTTACAGTCAGGGTTGTAAGAGCAAAAAATCACAGTCCCTCTCCTTAGCCTTTACTCTGTTGTTCAGCAGAGGGGAAGTTATAATAAATAAGACATGTTGGCTGTATTTGTATGAAGTAACCAAATATCTAACCTCTGGAGTGAACAGAGGTTAAAATAACTTCTAAGCTGACACAATTACAGTGGTGTCATGCACTGTTGACAGCCAGAGAGCTAGTGCAATTGTCATTTATCCTAAGGAAAGGAACTAAAATGAATTTAAAATAATGCAGCGTGCACATACAACTGCCACAATATAATTTTTCCAGGCAGCCTGGATATCAACACTTCCAAGTTTCTGATGTTTGAACTGGATTTTTAGAATACAAATCCATCTCCAATTTCTTCCCTTTAGGGACTACAAAAATATATTTTTAATCACACCCTAATTAGAAAAGGGTCTGAAACAGACTCCTAAAGAATTGAAATCTTATGAAGAAATCACTAAATTGGGACTTGGCAGACTGAGGTGCAGTTCTTCATTTGTTATTCTCCTCTAGGAACTTTGAAAAATCACTTAGCCTGACTATACTTTAGTTCATTTCTTGTTGTACACAAAGTAAGGGAGAGATAAAGCATGAAAACTCCATGAACAAGGCAATGCTGAATAACAAAAAGCTCACAAAAATTTGTCCTTCCTGACATGATGCAAAGACATTTTACCATATGTGGGTTTTCTTTTTTTTTTTTTAAAGTTGTGAGTTCTTTTTTGTTTTAATTTGCAACAGAAAATGTAGGTTCCTAGGTCATTAAACACAGCATAACACAAGGGAAGTTGTGTTTTAACATATGGGCACAAAACATGTGCAGGGCTCTGTTAATTTTGTGAATTGCAGTGGGTCACCCTGAGCACTTTAGCAAGAGCAGTGGATTTCAGAGCTAAATTACATCATTAGAATTCAGCTGAACACTGTGCCTTTCCTCTCCCACCAGTAATACCAGTGCCTTTTTCTGCATTACTTAAGTCTTATAGTGCAAGTGCTCATACTCAGTCAAGGAATTTGGCATTTCTTTAGGAAAAAAAACAAATGTAAATAAGTTTCTGACCAGGCTGAAAATAATGAAAAACAGGGGAGGGGAAAATGCATTTCTAATAGAGTGTGTAAAGTGAAGTCTAAACCACACACTATGGGCATGACTATTATGAAAATATTTGCTCTTGCTATGTAATAAATTGAGTACTAATGGAAAAATAAAATAAAAAATAAAAGGAAGGGAAAGAAAAAAATAACAGAGTGCAGAGAATCTGATAAAAGGAAGAAACTTCTATTGCTTGTATTTCATAATAAAAGACAGTTACTGGTAGCTATATCCAACTGTTGTATTTTAGGTTTTCCCACATCCAGCGCTAAATCATTGCCTTTTTGAAGTCTAGGTGATTTTAGCTTCAAATCATAACAAAGTACACATACAATAATTACTTCCCAGCTTGGGCAGATGGACTTGAGCTCAGACCCTGCGTTTTTAGGAACTGTCATGCTCTACTTGTACTCCATTATAGGCAAAGACCAAATGCTAGTCTGTTGTAGATAGAGGACAAAACTCTGCTGACTTCAGCTGAAGCAAGATTTCCCTCACAGGGGTTGATTCTTCACTCACTGGTGTCAATGTAAAAGCTGTCAAATGCCAAATGAGGACCCTGGAGCACTCATAGAATTTTTCTGTATGAACTGTGCCTGTGTGTCCCAGCACTCTGCAGTGGAAGTAAGCCAGAAAACTGCAGAAAAACTCAAACACTGTGCCAGTTTATAATCTCTTTTATGAAGGAACATAAACACTAGAAATCTGTGGGCCCTTTCTTCTTTTTGAATGGCAAAATTAAGACAACTATTGTTCAGATTTCTACTGGGGAATGATCTTCAGAGTAGTCTAGGATCACAGAATCACATAATGGTTTGGAAGGGACCTTAAAGACCACCTAGTTCCAACCCCCCTACTGTAGGCAGGTACACCTTCCACTAGACCAGGTTGCTCAATGCCTGCATCAAAGGATGAAGTTCTTCATCTAGATGGTCTTTTCTTACATGTTGGAGAACTACGAGCTCTATAATCTATCCTTTGTGCAATGTTTTCATTAGTAGCATTTTAAAATTAGATCTGCATTACACTTTGCACAATGCATAAGATGCGAAAAGTGAAGAAGATGCTACACAGAAGATTGACAAAATCAACAGGAAAACTACTACTTAATAACACATTGCTTTTCACACGTGGACTGCAAAGCAATGTTAAAATGCTAATTAAATAAGCATAACAGCATTACCATTATGGAGTTAAGCTTTTCAATTTATTGTGCACCCTCAGATTTTTCTTAGATCTTTCTTCTTAGTGGCAGCCTGTTTTGATGTTTGGCATCAAAGGGTACTGGACCTTTTTTTTTGGTTTTCCAGGGCCAGGGTTGAATGCCCCAGGCCAACCATCTGCCTGCTTTAGATACAGCTTGGGTTTATAAGCCTCCAAGGTACCCAACTTCAGTGGTAAATACATTAACTAACCATCTCAAAGGTTTCATCCTGCAATGCATCAAGAGGTGTTTAGGGCCAGCAAAACAGTATGAATGGCACTTAAGTAGGAATGCAACTTGTGGCAAAAAACTTTACATCAAGAATAAGTAACTGCAACACTACATAACACAAACAAAATAGCCAATTCTACTCAGGGACAGTCCATGAGGACCACGATTCTGCATGGAGAGGCATACCATATCTGTTTCCCTTTAAAAGGGCACAAAGCCAGTTTCTCTACTGCACTAAATGGACAGAAGCCCTTTGAAATACATGGAGCACTAATCAAACATGCCAGAACTGGACCTGGGTTGTGCCCTGTTAAAACCAAGGGCAAAGACTTAAGGATTTCATAACTTTGGCTAAACAGTCTGAATTACTAATATTTTCAGGAGATAGAATCTCAAGAGAAGAAAAACAAACAAGATTGATATAAAAATGGTTTTAATACATTTTTTTTCTTCCTTTTTTCTAAAGGGCCTTTATAGAAGGCTGTCTGTGAAATCATTCCTGATATCTGCTCTCACTCCCCTGTAGTGAGCTTGGTATAATGAAATGCTGATAATATTCAGCATAATTCAGAATTCACCCCACTGGGCGTACTGAATCAGTATTCTTGTCAAAGTAAATTTAGCGCTGATTTTTAATCTCTTCATTGCTAGGAGCACAGTACAAATTCATAAATTTTAATTTTTATTTTACTTTAGTAAGTGTAATTACCTACAACATTTATAAATTTAAGCAGTGTAAGAGAAAGATGCTGTCTGATCAAAATTCATAACCTGCTTCTACTGGGCATTCATTTTATTTTATATTGATCCTCACTGAGAGTAAGACGATTTGCTTGCATAAAGGCTGAGAGACCAAAGAGACTCAGCCACAGTAACTCAACCCATCACTCGTGTTCTCTGTTTTTACAGAGCCTAACTCATCGATTCCTGATTTGGACATTGTGTGCTACTGGTATTCTATCAATAATTGATAGCAATGAGTTTTCTAGGCCAAAGGGAGCATTTTAGTTTTTTATTTTTTGTTTGTTTGGTTGCTTTTTTCCTCTGTGTTAAACAAAGGTTTTGCCTCAGTCTAGAACTGAAGTGTCCAAACTTTAAAAGGTAGAGTTCCTGCACAGGGAAAAACAACCACATCCCTCTATAACCATACGTCTTGAGGACAGAGACACATTAATCTCCCTCGATCAGGTTGTGACCTTGTCCTGGGTTCAGCAGTAGCAGTCATTTTTCCCTTTCTTAGTAGCTGGTGCAGTGCTGTGTTTTTGACTTTCAGCCTGGGAACAGCATTGATAACACCGATGTTTTTAGTTGCTGCTCAGTAATGTTTACTCTGACCAAGAACTTTCTGAGTCTCATGCTCTGCCAGGGAGGAGGGGAAGCTGGGATGAAGCAGAGACAGGACACCTGACCCAAACTGACCAAAGGAGTATTCCATACCACAGCACATCATGTGCAGTACATAAACTGGGGGTAGTTACCCAGAAAGGCTAGATCACTGATAGGTTGGGCTGGGTATCGGTCGGCGGGTGGTGAGCGGTTGTATTCTCTCCCCTTGTTATTTCCCTTATCATTATTATTACTGGTGGTAGCAGCAGTGGTTTGTGTTATACCTTAGTTACTGGACTGCTCTTATCTCAACCTGTGGGAGTTACATTCTTTCAGTTCTCCTCCCCATCCCTCTGGGAGCCAGGGGAGGAAGAGGGGGAGTGAGCAAACGGCTGTGTGGTACTGAATTAGACTGGTCTTAAACCATGACAGTTCTTTTTGGCACCAACATGGGGCATGAAGGGTTGGGATGATGACAGATCTGACTGGAGTGCGTCTAATCACATTTGTGATAAGCATCCATCGTTTCGATTAATAGCCACTCGTCACAATGCTGATTTATTGGCTCTCTAAGTTTTTGCTCTTGATCTCACAGTTTCAGTATGTTGTACCTTACTTACAGCCAGTATTTGCTGTGTTAGTGTTTTTCAGCTGAGGGACTCGGGCTAAGGTTCTTGTTCCCTTGTACTTTATGGTAATGACTTGCAATACAATAGAATCATTGATCATGAAACTGATCTGGCTTACATTTCCAGTCTGGTCACCACCTCTATACTTTGGGAGGTATATAATAGAAGTGTTTAGCAATTACACATCTTTTTTCCCCTCCTCGGGTGGTCAGCCTATGAGGGAGACATTCCCACATACCCCTGCAACAAGTACAGCAGCTACTCAAACTCTGACTACAACAGATAACACAGTTACTCCAGCTCCAAGCACAGCAGCTACATAACCCCAGCGACAAGTACGGCAACTACTCTGATCGCAGCAGACAGTGAAGCTACTCCAGCTCAAAGCACAGCAGCTACTCCAGCCCCAGTGACAAGTACAGCAGCATCATTTGAAAATTCTGAAGGTTTTGAATGGCCTTTGGGTACCCTTGAGACCTGCCTGCTGATTGTGATGGGGATCACCATGTTGGCACGCATGCAGATTGTGTTTTGCCCACGACCATTTCGTCTGACCTCGAAAGTTAAGCAGAGTCTAGGGTTAAATGACAATATAGGAGGACCAAGACATTTTCCCTGAGGCTGGACAGTCATGAGTGGCAGGGTGTGTGGGACAGTATGGGCGAGTATCTAGTCCACTGGGCCCCTCCAGTGCTTTGGAAGCATTGGAGATGGAAGGCAGCTGTATGGAGTCCCCAGCAACAAGCTGCAAAAACTGCTGAAGGGGACAGTGAATTGTTTTGAGCCTGGTGGGCCCATGGCACTTCAGGCCATCAGGGCAGAGATGCAACATAGAGATGGACTCATGATTGAGGAGTGAACTTAGCAAAGGACACTGTTGCCCAGGTTATTGACGAGTATGAACACTGCACACAGCCTCTCCTGTTCTGAAAGACTGTTACAAGAGATGAAGCCTGACATCATGGACCAGATGGACTCAGCAGCGTTACAGGGATTGGTCCATGCACTAAGGAATGATCTCTCTCTCTCTCTCTCTCTCTCTGTGGGTGTATATATATGTATATATATAAGAATGATGGCATATTGAAAATGTGGGATCTGAGCATGACGTGAATGGCATGGAATAAGGAGTGGATACTGTCCCGGGTTCAGCAGTAGCAGTCATTTTTCTCTTTCTTAGTAGCTGGTACAGTGCTGTGTTTTTGACTTTCAGCCTGGGAACAGCTCTGATAACACCGATGTTTTTAGTTGCTGCTCAGTTATGTTTACTCTGACCAAGGACTTTCTGAGTCTCATGCTCTGCCAGGGAGGAGGGGAAGCCAGGAGGAAGCAGAGACAGGACACCTGACCCAAACTGACCAAAGAGGTATTCTATACCACAGCATGTCATGCCCAGTATATAAACTGGGGCAGTTACCCAGAAGGGTACTGAATTACTGACTGGACTTAAACCATGACAGACCTTCACCTCCACTAACTGTAGCGTGAACAAGCAGATTGGGGTACCTGTCACACAGCTTTCATCAAATACCCACTAAACACCTTCTTACCTCTATTTCTTTATCCTCTTCTCTAATTTTTATGTCATTGACAACAAAACAAGGTGTACCTTTCAGACTATATTGGCTCAGGACACCACAGTAGGAATTAGGAGGCTGCAATTCTCAACTTTATTACAAATTCAGTTTGTGCTTTTGCATAATACAGTTACACACTGATTCTCTGTAATAATTAGGCACCTTAATATTAGTGAAATGTCAAAATCCTTCTGAAGACCCGGGACTTTAACTCCCTTATGCCTTGGCTCACTGTCACATGTCTGCATCTTTGGTAAAGAATCTAGAGAGAGAGGCAGTCTACAGAGCCAGACTACATGTTACATTTGAACTCTGGTTTGGATTTTCTATTACAAGATTTAGCCTTGTATATTCCTAACACCTAGGACATTTTTGCATTATCTCCTCGTTCCCTTGTAAAAGTTAGAGCAACCATTAGCAATTTCCAATAGTCATAATGGATTTAATATGATAATGGCATGCCCTAATCAAATAAACTCTACGCAGGGGAATCTTCCAAAGGCTTAGAAGACAGAATGGGATTTATTTTGTTTTGATAGATTAAAAAAAAGTGGTCCCAGCAAAAGATATAACAAAGCTCCTGTCTGCAGAGAGATTAAATTAACTTAATGGACATGCAAACTAAATATGCACGGATACTTGCACTCCTTTCTGAAGTGTGGATCTTGGAAACTATCCTATCACTTGGAGCACATAACAACCAGCTGAGTTGCTGTGGTGCAGAGTGCAGCTGCAGGCTTCTTTATGAGATTTATTTTGCTTAAAAACTGACTACACAAGATTATTTTCAGTCCAGAGCTACTGCAGTGGAAGAAAATAAACATTCACAGTTTACATTTTATGATTTACACTTTGGTTCTTAATGCTATAATGCCAAAGATTAGATTAAATTAGGTGCTGGACAGAAGAGGGAAATGGGTTAAGTATTTAGATAGGGTAAGGGAACAGTGCAGAATCATGTAGTAAGAACTGAATTACCACTATCATTAATAACATACACCTTGGCATTAACATAATGTTCTGTTATTTACCTGGTCCACTTACTGTGAAAATTACTTTAGAAGTCACCCCTTATTTTCTTCACTTACCTGAGCACCCAGTGGGCCTTATCATGACTCAGACACTTTCTTCCAGATTCTTCTCTGAAGATTTTGTTTTGTGAAACAAGAAACCTGCTGCAGTTTGTGTAAATAAATGTTCACTATGCTTATAGAGATGTTTATTCTAAAAGAAATGAAGCAAGGCTGAGAAGAATATTGTGAAGTGAAGGAAACTACGGGTCACATTAGGAACACATTTTCAGAACCATGAGAAATAAGGAATTATTTTTGGTATCTTTAAAACAAAAGGTCACCCGAACACTTTAGACTCACCTTGAGTTACTATGTTTAGTATTTATTATTCGAATAATTTAGAAATTTATGTTCTAACAATTTAGTATTATTCTAAGAAGTCCTTAGAAAACAGATATGATTGGTAACCCACATACCTAAGGTCACAGATGATGAATCTTCTGCCAAGGTGTTTTTGGACCAATTCAGGAAGAAGCCAAGTACAAGCTCATTCTGAAAGAAAATAAGAATACTTTAGGGAATATCATATGTTGTGCTTTGTTCCTTAAATTATTAATCTCTGAGTAGATTTCTGGTAGGTTTCTAATGTATATATTAGCAATAAAGGGCAGCATTTCCTCTCTGATCATGGACAAGGATACCAGAGAATGATTTCTACTGAGGCACTCGGAGGACATTAATGCCCCTTAGCACTGGCTCAGGGATGCAGCATTGATGTCTATCTGGTCCCCTTCTATCAGCACACTTGCAAACAGCAGTGTGGCACATGGGCACATTTGCATTCCTGCTTGATCTCCAGTGTCTTGAGATATGTATTAGCAGCTGCAACTACTTTTACAGAGCACCCCATCTGAAACAAATGCAGGAGAATATCTTTACTGTGTAATGTGCAGTCAGCATGCAATTTGCCCTTGGCACAGAACCAACCCCAAGCATCTGACCTGACACGTGCCTGAGATACTGTGAGTACCTCCTTCACATGGAGGCTTAACGGACACTCAAACTGAAAAGCTCCACAGAGTGTTAACCCCCACCAGAAACCAACAGGGAGTGAAAGGGATGATCATATTTTGCCATCCTCTTCAAAGGAGTAATCCACCTTATGTACTGCACTATAACTTTTCTTTTTATGTACTGACCTGTGCTGCTCTACTGAACATATATAACAGGTAGTTACATTCAGCTGCAGAGAATTAAAACAATAAACTAAATCCCCAGATTTGAGTACTGTTCAAGGCAATAAAATTGTGAATTCTGAAATGGACTCTTATGATTCTGAATCAAAGGTGGACAGTAATTGTATTTTGTTAGCTTTTTTCATAAAGCCGTATTTCAGAATGGCCATTCTTTAAGACTGCTAGAATTGCTATATTCATACTGATGTTACTTGGACTGACACTGTAATGAATGGGTAGAACAAGAGACTTTTCAGATTCTAGCATTAAGATGTCACTTTTTTTTTTTTCCAGGCCATGGAAAATAATGTGTCTCTTATCGGCAAGCTGTACTTCACGTAGCATTTGTCTTGTTTCAATTTGACAGGATGCACCGTGATTTTGGGCCCGGAAAAGAGAAAAGGAAGAGTTTAGTGACAAATGCAGCTAGTGAGGAGCTAACATGGGTTTACAGCAGACAGAGGAACAAGATGTGTATGTTCACCATAGAGATAAGGTTTATCAATATGGATTTATTTTAGCAGTTACCTTTTATTTTTCATTCTGCTGTTTGGAGTTTTTCCTCCCATATGATACTTTCTTTTAAGAGAAAAATCAGGGGAAAAAAAACCAAAATAAAAAAGGATAAACCAACAGAATTGTTTTCCTTGAACTGAATGACAAGTCCTTAAGCTATTAGCAGTGGTCTGCCAATATACCTGTCTGTTCTGAGTATTACTAATTATTCTCTCATCTCATGCAGACAGCTTACAGGAGAAAGCACATACACCTGCTTCAGCTTCCAGTAGCTTTAAACAGCTGAGTTATTCCCTGTGGGATCAGCATTTGCTCTTTCAGCACAAGTCCCAAGTGTAGGAATTCTCAAGGGTTGAAAGAGAGTGTATTTTGGCAGCTCAGTCTTTCTTTGACAGCATAAAAATAATCAGAGAAACTTTAGTAGCCCTTTCAGTTCAAAGACCTTGAGAGAAGTGAGCAGGAGGTGGAAGGAAGGATACACTAACTGACTTGAAAGAGAAATGAAGTATTCCACACTGAGCAGCCTGGTGTTCTGCTTCCTCTCCACTTACTCTTTCAGCAATAAATGGAAATATATGGGCACAGATGTTTGTAAACAGGAGGTGCAAAGATTGTTTCAGGTGATAGTTCCAATTTCTAATGGAGACAACACTGGGAAAAAATGACACTTGTTTAAGTACAGAAGTGGAATTAATGCAAATCTTACATCAGGCATGAACACAATGCTGCTGCTGCAGTACTGATTTCAAAGCTTTCCCTGACTGTGTGTCCATTGTACTCAACAGGTATTGAAGCATGTGGGGAAGCAGCAAGGCTAATGCTGACAAATGGAACACAAAAACATAACTGAACAGGTCATGTTACTGGGGCATGAGTAGCATGTATCCAGGGCAATGTGCTTCACAAACAATGGGGAAGATCTCCTACATGTTTGTGGCAATCAGCATTTTGCACACTTTTATGCAAAAAAAAACCAGAATAAATTCTTCCTGAACTGTGTTAATCTGCCTGTTGCAGGAGCCCATCTTTTAGGTTTCCACCATCAAAGTGTGCAAGTACCTGCTTAAGTTCACCCTTTGTGAACAGATCACCAAAGCACATGCTGAACTGTGAGGTGATTCCTAAATCAATGGGACTTCAATCAACTGGACCCCAGTCAATGGGACTGAAGCATGTGCTTAGAGTTTAGCGTGCATCTAATTACACTGCTAAATAGAAACAGTCATATCAGGGCTTTGAACAGATGAATGAGAAAAAGCATGCTGTATTCAGGTAGGTAAGAGTCCACTTCTAAACAAGCAATTGTTAGAAAGTTATGACCATAGGTGGCATCTTAGAGACCCCATGACAGTCTTGGCAGATAAGGCAGGCACTGAGGATGACCACAAGTACTCATCTGCCTTTTGAACGCCTGGAATTCTTACCTTTAAATCAGTAAATGGAAATTCCCTAATATACTGCCCATTTAGGGATTTTTAGGAAAGTCTCCTTTCCATTCTTACCTAATAAGACAACAATCTTTAATATGCAATGCTGATATTTTTCCAGGTCACTCCATAACATTAGTCTGCTGGGGAGCAGCCAGGTATGTATGGGTGCATCAGCGCTGGTCTGGCTAGAACTCATGCATGACCTGTTTTCAGCCATTAAACTCAAAAGGGATAAATTCTACCCTCACAATAGGATACAAATGAAATAAGCAACTTCACTGGCATTGAGGGAGCTGGCAAAGCCCTGCACCACTGTACCTTGGTAAAATTTGTCTGCTGCTGTCCATCAGAGACTAACTAGAAAAGCATTCTACTGTTTGTGACACAGCCAGATTTCAAGCCAGATTTAATTTCATTAGGGAAAAAAAAAAAAAAGCAGTTTCTCCTGTGCTTTCAGCTTTCTTTTCAGCTATGTTAGAGTAGATTTGGGGTCAAAGAACACCCATGTACCTGTTATACTTTAACAGGATGGAGAATCAGCAGGAAAGAAAGAAACCAGAAAAAGCTGACCTTGCTGGAGCTATTATAACTTCAGGAAAGGACAGTGGAAAAGACATGACTTTGAACCCTTCCCATTTTGGCTCCGCAGGATGCCTTACTGCAGGAGTACAGGAGTTGTGGGAGTTTAAGGGACCCACATACCTCGGGTGCACTTTGTACCACTGTATTATGTGCCTCCATACAGGCACTGCAGGAGTTATTTTCTCATCTCTGCAAATCCCAAGTAGTGCCAGTGAACAAAATACAAATGAAATATGGGAAGCTGTTATGAAACTTGATTACTTTTAGACTGTAAAACATTAGTCACTCTAGAACAATGCTGTGGTTCTGGTTTTCACCGTATGCTTGAAAATGAGTGAACTTAATTTACAATCATTTCCATTTATATCCCCTCTTTAAAGCCCTTTTACACAGCCTATAAGTCACCATAAAGCAGTTTATAGAACCTATGCATAGCTGATACACTGTCACTGCTTACCTGCTTGCACTTTGGCCCTAAGTGTTTAGTTAATTTGGATACTTAGACAATTTTTATAAAGTCAAACCACAATATGCCCAATTTCTTTTTTACTGCTTAGCCTACTGTGCACTGTTGTATTTGCCAACTGCTCCTACCATGATAAACAAACCTCCTCACACATCCAAGCCCACTGAACTTGCGCACGAAACCAATTTATGTGGAAGATGTGGGACTAACATCATGTATTTATTTAAGGCTATGAAGTTTTGCAAGATCAGTATGAACACCTAGTCTCTGAGCTGTGTTACCAATAACAATATCCACAAATTAAATGCCACCTCCTTTAAATTATGAGAGATGGGAATTTTCTATAGAATGATATTAGCTGCCTGCCAGTACTGAGTGTGCATGGTTGCTATATAAAACATTGCTTTAGATTCAGTTTTAGATTTTTCTCTTGTAATGCCCAAGCCAGGTGCAAGCTGTCTTTTCAAGATAAACATGAAGACATTTAGCTTTGTGAGTGCTGCTGTTTGACACGAGGGCCAAGCACAGCCTAAATTAATGGAGCTTTACCTTGCTTTTGTGTCCCAAGGGAGTGTGCAACCCTCCTACAGTACAGCAGTAAAGTGACAAACCACCAGGGCAGCCCTAATTTACATGATATGTTATGAGATTTGGGCTGCAATCTCCACTCAGCCCATCACTCAGCTAGAGTTAAGAGTGAAACAGAGAAAAATGTAAAAGTGGCCAGCAGCCCCTGCCTTTCTTCACAAATGTGATTTACACTTCGATAATGTGCTTTTTGTTCTCCTACATGTTACCAACCTTTAATTTATTTTTAGTTGATATTTCACCCCTTATTGGTGGCATCACTTGGTTGTTCTGCCATTTATTTAATGAAGCAAAACTCCAGATGTCTAAGCACTCTTGAGCATATTGTTTTGTTGATCTAGAAGACACAGGCACTTCAGTGCCATTAGCAATGGTGCATCTGGCACAAAGCTAAATATTCTTACAGTGTGATCCCATATATTGCCACTGCTTTGGAAGGAGTAGAATGAAACTAAAAAAAGGTGCTGAAACCTGCTTTTGATCCTGTCCTAAATGACTCATTATGACAATGAAGGTGCATCAACTTTTGCATTTTAGTGACTGATGTGAGAAACGTAGCTTGTTGTTCAGCTGTATAATCTGGTGGTGTAGTTATTTATAACTGAAGGTTAACCTGAATTTAGGAAAAGCACTCCTGTTCCAGGCAGCTCTTCAATAAATTTCTAAGGGGAAGACAATGAATGAGGCATATGCATGATGTAAAACTGCTTTGCACAGGATGGGCATGAGCATGTTTAAGCATTTAAAATGGCCCAACAGGAAATCAACTGATATTTCTGCAATTACTAGATTTGATTTACTAAAAGTGAGAGATAGAGAAGGTGGTTTGAGCTCTTTAAAGAAGGGTTTAAAGAAACATTTAATTATGTTTGAGCTGCAGTGCAAATGAGAAGGCAGCTATTTTCCACTTCTCCTCCTTCATTCAAACCCTTTAGCAGAAAAGGTCAATGACATTCTGACCTATGCTTAATTATACCACAATTTTCATAATCAGAACTTAGTCTGGACTAAGAAGCGTCACTTAAGGCATGACTGGGGAAGGAATTTGGATATAATCCAATTTTCTCTTTATTTCTAAGATTTTCAGTTACTTGATTGGTAGAACCAAGCATGTAGTCAGCCTTGTATGGACTGGACAAACCTTTTCAGAGCTGAAAACTGTGTAGTCAATCAAGGTAACATGTTTACAGTGATAGCAAGCATATTTTATAATGAAATAAAAGCTTTTCTTTCCATCTCAGACAAGACTCCAGCATCCTGTACAGCTACAATACAGCTAGAAGACCCAACAGGCATCATTCAGCAGAAAGGAATGACTGTGTCAAGAGAGTAAAGGGAACACTGCTGTACAGGCACCTGCTCTTACAGAGTTTCTTCACAAATTTCTTACTTAATTATTTATTCCTACATAGTTTTACTATTTCATAGGAATGACAGTTTCGTAGTGCTTGAGAACAGACAACTCATGCAATGGTTTCAGTCAGGCTCCCTAGCATTTTGAGAAGAAGGACAAATTTGACTGCAAAGTTGTCCAAGGCACAAAAAGAGACAAAATAATTGCATTTATTTTTATCAAGAAAGCCTCCTCGCTTGGCCTTCTGCTCAGAGTAAAACCATGAGGACACCATGACACTTCTAATGGAGTCACACCAAAGAGAAAAGTAAAATAGGAAGCCTTCAGTTTGGAACACAAAGGAAATTACCCACTGACTGTTCTCCTCGTTCTAAGTGGGTCAGAACACGTTAGTATTTTCTAAACTTCTCTTATCGCCCAGCAGGAGAAGCATGTTGAAGTAAAAATAATGATTCAATGTTTGTCAAGTATCAATAACTTTAAAGGTAATCATCTAGAATTGCAGGTTAGCTGCATGGTGGTAAGCAAGATGATTTCCTGTATGCAATAGCACTTTACACATAGAAACTATCTACTTATTACTCCATTCATTATCGTCCCCTCCAAGTCCAGCACAGCAGCAGCTGTGCAACTGCACAAAATTGTTTTCATCTCCTCATGGTTCAGCACTATAGGCTGGACTGGAATGATTTTCAGCAGCTGCTTAGTCCATCGTGTTTGAGTAGCCCCACTGGGCTGGTTATGATCCACACCAGCGTATGTCTACAGTAAACCTGTCCACAGTTCCCTCTGAATACCCTATTTGTGGTTGTGCCCCAGTGTCCCTGCAGCAACGGGCTGGGAGAACTTACCCAGCTACGTGGGTGCATCCTGCAGGACCATAAAGGGAGAAAGAAAGCATTAGGAAGCCCATTGCAAAGCAGCATGCTCTGGCTGATTACTAGCCCATTCACAGACCATGGAGCAGGAGAAAGAGAGTTTCTGCACGTGACTGGGAAATGTTTTTATTATTTTTCCCAGGGTTTTAAGCAGTCTAATTTTTCAGCTGTGAATTAGTTTCTACACAGGAGTGCTTGGCCCAAATTGAAAATCCATGTACCTTACAGCAGCCCAGACACACAGCAGAAGATACAGAGCCCTTCATTTCTAGGTCACAGTTTTTCCTCAGCTGTGACCAAAAGGCACTAATGTAAAATAAACCCACAACCCTAATGTGAGTGACAGAAATTGCACAACAATTTACCCCAGCTTGTGCAGTTTATCTGGCAAGATCAGTCAAGGGAGCCAAGCACCCAAGCCAGCTGTCCATACCAAATTAGTTATAACTCTGTGAGACAGATATTATCTATCCTCTTTGGAAATCTTCATTTCAACTCAGGGCACAGAATTTATATTCACATTAATAAAAACCCTCCTGTTCGTTTCACATATGGACAATTTGCTCTTTAATCTCTATTACACAGTCACAGCTGGGAAATTTATATAGCTAGGCAGTAAACATTTTTCTCTTCCTGCAAGATGTTTGAAATTTTGGAGAAAGACCATGCTGTCATACCCTCTTTTGGCATCCTGGACTGTTTACGCTATTAAACCAAACCAGCTCCAGTTTGTGCTATGGCCCTGAGGCCATGGAACATGACATGGCTCACCTGGCAGAGGCCCAAGCTCTGCTAACATGCCAACAGTGACACAGCAGGGTCAATGCACGAACTTTGTGACTTGGCTCCCTTGAGCTTACCCGCCTCTGTGTAAGCCCAGGACGTAACGTAAACCACTGTTGTTTTATTTTCCTGCCTGACAGCTTTCCTGACAATGGCTGGTTGCTGGAAGATGCTCTTTCCTCTCAGATCCTCCTTTCATTCTCAGTAATTTCCAAAGTGATGCAGTGTAATGATTTAACATCTTCCTGGGTTGCATGGTGCCTGTTAGTTGCTCTCAGGCCTGGCTTTTTTGATGCTGAGGTGCATAAGGCTTTGTCCTGGGCCAGGAAATGAAGAGTTAGTGTTTGATACCCTTTCAACTTTCCATTTTGAAACAGGAGGAGTCCATTAAATCTCAGAAAATGATAAAGAATAAAAAATCAGAAAACACCAATTTTAAGGGAACACAATGTATCATTCTAATAATATTGAAACATTCTGATTTTGGTCTTATGTCTGCAATATAATTTCTTCTACATGTTAACTAAATTTTGAAAGGAAGGGTATTTCTGGGCTTAAAGAAAGGAACTTTTCATTTTAAAACTGTCAAAATCAGACTTTTCAATATTTTAAAACTTACTCTTTTTTTAGACATTACATTCACTAGAACCTACTCCTTTACTGTCAGAAATTCAGTGAATCACTACTTTTGAATGGCAGCAAAGGAAGAGAACTTTTTCTGAGAAATGCCCTGCCAGGTCTAATAAACAATTTTTCAGTCACTGGTTCTGATGAGTGCTACAATGGCTCCATCTCAAAACAGCTGCATTAGAACATATGTCATTTATGTGATTTTTCACTTTTTTTCTTCAAATGAGGCCACTGGAAGCTTCCTGAATCTTTTGGTACAATGCTACTGAAAGTCATATGCAAATGAAATAAATACAGGAAGTACTCACATTAGCCAGTTTCCTGGATCCACTTAATAGCTGTTTCAGATAGAGATTCAAATCCTTCACTCTTTTATGTTCAAGATCTGTAAAAGGTAAATGCCACGAGTAGGGAAACCTGCAAAACAAGAATATTTGTAAGTATAACTCTTGTACTGTATTTGCTGTTAATATTTCCAGCTCTACCTAATAAAGTAAGTTAACAGTTTCTAAGAGATCTTGCAGGTTGGCCAGGGGACATGTACAGTGTCCAGAGGACTGTTTACCCTCTGACTCTGGTTCTTCCAATAATTTGCTGATATTCTGTTTCATACTGTACCTCTTTTTCTGTCTAAATCATGAATTAAAAAAATAAAGATTCAAAACCCCCAAAAGGCACTTGTTTGCATTTCATGGCATTTACTACCTCCAAATAATTGGCTTTTTATGATCCCAGGAAACCACTACCCTCCCCAGTTTTTGCACTGTTTACAGCACATGAGATCTCTAATCTCAGCCCAGGACTCAACGCTATGCAAACCCTCACCATAGAATATTGAATACCAAAGCCTTACAGTAATAATGTGACATTTTATGAATATGTCATTGCTTGCTTTTTTACCTCAGCTATTTAGAGTATAGATAAACTTTTCAGAGCAGGTCCCTGATCCCATATGTAATTTCAGAAGCCAGCATAGTAAAAACAGTATATGAAAACAAATTATTTTCACAAAATTAAAATCAATTCCAACAAAAGCACTAACAATAATATTACTAATGTTCATGCTGAATTTTATTAAGATTAATTTCATTTCAGTTTAGTAAATAAACCACATAATCATAGAATGGCCTGATGTCAATTTTCAAAGGCTTTGGTGATTGACAATGCCAAAACCTTTTTTTTTTTTTTTTCACTTGAATCATATTTTTTCATTTTACTTGCTGCTTGCTTCCATACAGAATCATAGAAATAAAATGGTTGGGGTTGGAAAGGACCTTAAGATCATCTACTCACAACTCCCCTGCCATGGGCAGGGACACCTCACACTAAACCATGTCACCCAAGGCTCTGTCCCACCTGGCCTTGAACACTGCCAGGGATGGAACATTCACAACTTTCCTGGGCCCATTCCAGTGCCTCACCACCCTTACAGTAAAGAACTTCTTCCTTATATCCAATCTAAACTTCCCCTGTTTAAGTTTTACCTCATTACCCCTTGTCCTATCACTACAGTCCCTAATGAAGAGTCCATCCCCAGCATCCTTATAGGCCCCCTTCAGATACTGGAAGGCTGCTATGAGGTCTCTTCTCTTCTCCAGGCTGAACAGCCCCAACTTTCTCAGCCTATCTTCATATGGGAGGTGCTCCAGTCCCCTGATCATTCTCGTGGCCCTCCTCTGGACTTGTTCCAACAGGTCCATGTCCTTTTTAGGTTGAGGACACCAGAACTGCACACGATACTCAAGTGGGGTCTCATGAGAGCAGAGTAAAGGGGCAGGATCACCTCCTTCAACCTGCTGGTCATGCTCCTTTTGATGCAGCCGAGGATACGGTTGGCTTTCTGGGCTGCAAGCGCACACTGAAGCTGCCCCATGTTCATTTTGTGATATGGATTGGTTATACTGGGGCTCATAACTAATATTATGTTTTATGTCCTCTACTCTTCTGTGAAATAGAAAGGTGGAAGTTTTGATCTAGGTGTATTTCATGTTACACCACTACTGTAAATAGTTAACCATGTCTTGTTTACAACCTTGTTTATCCACTTGATCTCAAGAGATCCCTGGAAGCTTCAGACAAATGAGTAAAGAGCCTCGTAGCATGCAATATACTGAAAAGAGACACTTGGCCAGTCTTTAGAAAGGCAGCTGTGTAATACTGTGCAGAAGAACTGCAATGTATTTTACAATTAAAAAAGTAAGGGGGTAGGATGATAACAGCACACTGTATGTATGTATGACCTCTCGATTATTTTTGCCTATATCACTGAAAGATCAGGGTACAGTTAGGCACTGTAATAATGAATATTAAGAGGCAATTCTTGCCTAACAAAATTACAGTGGCAGGGCACATAATGGGGCGGGGGGGGGAAGTGATATGACCCAGGACCATGACATATAAGAGCTGCACAGATAAAAATAGTCCAGGTCATTTGGCACACATAGATAGCCTGTGAATGTTCTGGGTTCCTCTGGGGCACAAAAAGGACTTCTTTCAAGAGACGGAAGGGAGGTTCTGTTTGGAAGCAGCTTAAAATTAATTAGGCTGTATAACACAAAGAGAGGACTCTGGCTGTAAAATGTAGGCCCTCGGAAGATGCAACCTTAGCACAGTGGCCAAAGAGAGGGCAGAGAAACTGCGGACTGACAGTGCCAATAACTCTGCTGCAGTGAAGGACAATAGGAACCTTCTTTAAAAGGCCTTCATGCTTTTGCTGACTTACGCCTTTGACTGAAACTGACTTTGCACTTGTGAACACTTGTGTCAGAAAAGGTTAACTTCCCAAGATGACTTTGAGCTTTGTATCTACCTTAAATAGATCAGAAAAGTATAAACTTGCACCACGCACAGTCATCCTGCATAGCAGATTCCATTTCCTTCTTAGCAGCTTGAAGAACATCTTGTGTTCATCAAGCTAATAATAAGCAAATTATGTCACTTAAATGCTTTGTTGGGTGAAAAGATTTTTGGCTTTAAAAAAAAAAATTGAACACAATTAATACTCTGTCTGAAACAAATAAGAGGGAAGGTGCTAAAGTGCAAGGGCTTGCTTGGGGCAACTGTGCTTTGTCTTATAAAAATGGGCTGAATGTTTCAGACACTGAGAACTCTGAGCTTTTGAAATCAGTTTCTTGAGATACAGCCAGTGTTTAGTACTTGTATGAAGTAGACTCATATTGTGTGATAATGAGATGTCTCCTCCTAACGAGACATGAAAAAATACAATTTCACGAATCAATACAAAGCAGTAACCAAATAATTTCTTTTAGCAGTTCTAATTATTCTAGTAATATCAGACATTTTCCTTTTAAATCATACATCTTCAAACTGCTCTTGTGGTTACACTATGGAACAAGGCTTTTTCCTTCCTTTGAAGTATCTGTCATTGGCCAGAGCTGGAGCTTTGCAATACAGACAAATATCCTGATATGGTACGGTAGTTTCAGTAATAGCTTCCTCTAAACTAATAATTTCTTTATTATTAGATTAAAAACTGGAATACATCAAAAGCCTCAAACTGATAAAGTTCTGTTAGGAAACAGATAAAAACTTTAAAATTAAAGAACATACATGTAAAGAAACATCATAAAATGAATTACTTTAACGAAGTCCTGAGGAAAGATCACACAGTGACAGGTTACTGCTGGGACTGAATTATGGCAATAAAGCTCTGGAGCTCTTAGGCAGGGCTTTGGTATACTCAGACTAACTCTCTGTAAGTCCTGGAACTCTCTTTTGCAGTGAAAATGTTGTGAGGGATTTTATTAAATCTGAAAAATGGCTGGTAATAATTTTCAAATTCATTGCAGGGTTTCTGAGGTTTATGTGTTTCTAAAAAAATATTTGTATTTTCCTTCAAAGGGCTTTCTCACCACAGGAAAAAAATCATAAATAGTTACTTGTTAAGCATTTTATTTTATAACTTAATAGTTAGCGTGCAAGTATCTCCAAATCAAACTCATGATTCTAGCACTTCCAGTGTTTTGTGAAATTACAATTCTCTCCAGCTGCTTCAAAACCTTTCATGTGAGCCAGTCATAAGGAGTCAACCTGAGGACAATTAAAATCCCCCTCAGGCAGGAAAAGATCCTCTAGAATTAACTAACCTGAAACCATTTATGTGGTTATGTGGATGCCTCTCACGAGCTTGGGGGGGATATCAAATTTGGATCTGAATTTTGTGGACGTTATTTTTTAAGTCAAAACTGTATTGCTTGTGGCTCCTTAATTCAGGTCAAACCTCTAAGATCTGTCTATTTTTCAAGCCTATCTCTTGAATCTCAGCTTGGTTCAAGTAAACTGCTTGTCCTCTTGGCCAGCTTTATGTTTTATTGTAGATTCAGCTTGAAGAGGGCCTTGTATCAGGTAAGACAGCATAACTGTTTAAGAGAGGACTACTTTGTTCTCAATGGTCTATGCAGTAAAATGCATATGATATTTGTAGAACATATAACTCCACTCGTATTACCAAAGCCATGGACAGTCATTACATAAGGCAAAGCTATTTTACGTAAGACAGAAAGAAACTGTGGGACTCACTGTCTCAGGAAACTGAAGAAATGAGTCTCAGAATATGAAAAGCAGGAATAGACATGCACATGGCTAAAATACAACATTCAGAATTATTACAACTAATGATAGCATGTTTTTCTAGAGATATTAAACTGAATGTTGCAAGGCACAAAGTATCAGGGTTTGGGGCCAGGATAGTATTTAATAAGATTATTACATATTTCTCAGCTGGGAAGTATGTGCATCTTTTTGATCATGCCTGCCACTGTCAGAGACTGGTTTGTTTCTGTTCCAACCCACTGTGAATATTCCTACATTGCTTTAATAAATGGACTTTGCTATGTGTTTTGATCGGCATCATGCAGAAAATAAAAACTATAAGAAGCCTTACTGGCCTTTAATGAAGTCAATACCACTTACCCTTTTATTTCAGGAATAGCTGTGTCAGGTGCAAGCTGTTTCCCCCCCTCTCATCCCATTAAAAAAAGAACAATAAAATATGTAAAAGTTAGACTGCCACAATGGCCTATGATTCAGTTTCTTCTGGGACTGAATAGAAGGCTTGATAGAATATGTCACGTTGTCTTTGTGTTTCTAAAAATATGCCTGCTGTACGTTTCTCACATTTTCATCTGTGCACAGAGAGAAGTACTAAATAGCAGAATAACATCCCCTAATACGCTGTCTTACTCTGGGAGGGCACACGATGGAAATTGCTTCTGGAGACGGCTGTGAAGTTTGGAGAACTGGTCAAATGATTTTTCCACAAAAGTGACCACATTGCAGGTCTGTACCACCTGGACGAGGTACAGCTGTATTGGGGAAAAGGGAGAGACCAAAAAGAGAAATGATCAGAAAGGCACATTTAAAAAAAAAAAAAAAGTTCGTGAGAAAATACAAGGTGATTTTAACAAAGAAAAACCTTTCTTTAATATACTGCCAAGTTCCAGAGAATTCAGTTTGTAATTTATAGTCTTTGCTGTATAGAAAGAGAAACTTGCCTGGATAGCATACAATTCAAACACTGAAAGATCACTGCAGTGTGTGAAAACTAATAGTGCACCATTAAAGCGTCGCATAACAGCCTCCTATTTCTATTAGGCTTCCTAATTTTGTGCCATGCTTTCCTTCTGGATGCTTTAATTAGCTCTTGATTTATTCTTCACTATAGGGCATGAACTTCTCTCCTTAATGGCTCCCTGCTAATAGCTAACTGGCTGGTGTTCTGTTTCTCCTGTAGATCATTGCTTATGGAACTGCTGTTCATCCTGTGATCCCTTTAACATGGCACAAGCACATCTTCTATAAAGGAGGAAGGGGAGCATATAAGCTCACAGAAGAGTCATCAAAGACCAAGCAAATGAGGGCAAGCAAAGAACATAATACATACGGGGTCAGACTTTTTGTTGAACCCCAAAATGGTGGCTCTTGCAATTGACTTCTCTGCATTCAACATCATCCACTCTTGGGGGACCGTCTCTGGAGCTGGAGGCTTTGCAGAGCCTGTCACTGACATCTGTGCAAGCGTGTGGATCAAGTTATTGAGTTTAACAGGAAAGCACTCCAAACTTTCCTTTATTTTCCTGAAGGACAAACAAACAAAAGAGGTATTATTTACAGATATTTTGTTTCCATTTCTTGATCCTTGGTTTCCTGGGATGCAAGAACCAAAAAACCTAAATTCTGAAACCTACCTCACACAAACATGTAGCCCTGTACATGCCAGTCATCACTATTTACGGCAATGCAGCATATCCAGCTTTTGAACTCAACTGCTTAAAGGAGTTCTCTTGCCATAGCATGTCTCATGGCTTATGTTGGGGTAGTTATTCTTCATGAGCTGGATACAATCAGCCTTCTTTTGGACAACAGATGCAGACAGAACATTTCCATATGTGTTTTGAGGAGTTCCAGGACAGAACAACGTGTATTCACTTTGACAGGTAGGAGAGAGTTCTTTAGCAGTAACCTCACACGGACTTACACGTGCCTGTGCAAGGCTCTTGCATCCAATTTCTGATTTAGCTCTGCATGATGTGCTGCTAAATCCTCTACCCAGTTCTTAAATGCTCTATCCCTGTGGAGCTGCTTATGATGAAAAAAACAGAAGAGAGAAATATTCTCCACCTATCTATCCACCATCTCACCCCTGTACAAGGGGTGCCAGAACACACTTCTCATTTCCTGGAGTTTAAAAATCCTTCATCAGAAAAGACACAATAGATAAAAATATAACTAGATATACATGTAGATATGTACTGCAGATGTGTTTTAACATCAAAGTGAACTCAAGAAATAGCAGTAGAAGATAATCACTGGTCTTTGAAGAGTAAGATGTAGCACTCATTAGAAAACACTTGCCCTCCTGAATTCAGTTGATGGTTAAGATCTGTTTAACTGCAATGTTACCTTTTTTTCTGTTTCCCTGCATATTTCTATGGCTCTCAGAAGATGTTCTGGATAGGTTCTAATGTTAAAGAACAACAGAGCACTAGTGTCAGGCCATATGGCAGCAAACCTTTACCAAATTGCTACAGGGTTTTTGTTTTTATTTTTTTCTCTTCCAGTTTTGGATTGTATCTAACTAGCTTGCAAGGCTGACAATACCCTTAGCCACCTTCATCATCCCCTGTTCAAAGCTGAGCAAATGACTCAACTGTCATTTTAAATTAAATTCTTATTCATGGTTTTCTGTGAGTGGGTTGGATTGCTTACTGTAATCAATCGAAATCAACTCCATTCATCACATTAGCCTAATTTTCATGATCTCTGATGTTCTGGCTAAAGTCTGTAGCTTCATAAATGCAACTGTACCTAAAAGAACATCCTACCTGCAGATAGCTCCCCAGCCTGCCTCCCTCCTCTCCCCCCACGTGAGATCTCATTCAAAATACTGTGTGAATTTATCATACACCAATTAGGCATACCAAACTGAGGAAAGATGTATGTGTTTTTCTTAATGTAACAGGAGGAAAGGTATCTTTGAATTGATTCTGTTAATTATCTTAATTATTAATTACATTATCCAGAAACACAAACACAGAGACTATTTAATAAATGACACAAATTAACACTCAAATGGAAAACAAGAAAACAAATCTCATTTCAAAATATTAGTACAGAATTAGTTCAGTGCTGACTAATTAGGTTGCATCTGTGGTGAACTTTCTCCTATGTATTTAATTCCATGCTTAGTTTAAACACTTCCTCAGTCACTAAGACATAATTTAGGCTATAGAAACTGCAACTGGGCTGCATTATAGCAAAGCAGCTAGGGAATTTGCAAAATTACTATAAGGGGCATGTTAACTTTGTAGCTAAATACAGTGCATTTTAATTTGCATAAAGCATGCATCCGCTTATAAACTAGTATTAATTCAGATATCATCACTGTGCAGAGCAGCTGATAGCAGAATACCACTATTTTTTCCATGGGTCCATTAAGCTTCTAAAATACTTTTAACATCCAGATTGCTAATGACATACTTTAAACCTAAATAGAGGCTTTTGTTGTCATTGTTGAAGATTTTCCCTGTGAGTTAATTTAATCATTACATTTAAAATAAAATAAAACCAGAAGTACATGCTATTTTCTCCCTCTCTTGCTATTCTGTCTTCTCTGTATGTTGTCCTCTATGTTAGAATAGGGAACACTAAGCAATCCTTACATCATGTTATCAACAAAGAATTGAAAAGGCCTCTTTGCTATTCTGATGACATCTCAGAGCATGTCTTAACAGCGAGGTAGAACAACTGTATTACGATTCTCTGCACTTACCTTCAAGGCAAACTGGCTTAAGGAAACCCTCTTTCCCACAGCCTCCAAAAAGCTGGTTGCTAACTATGCATGGACCAGTGGGGTACATCAACCCCATGTGTCTTGTCTTTTTAAATTTTGCAGTTCATTTTTGGCATGGATTACTTTGCTGACTCAGTTTATCACATTGTCGTACCTGATTACCCTTTCTGCTAGCATTTTTAAAGTTCATCCGATGGATCAGTGGTGGAACTTTCTCCTTGAACTCTCCAGGATCCCCATAAACCTTCTTTTCTCTACAGCCACATTAAGTTTAGCTATAGGAGAAGAAGCTGGTACGGTCACGGGTATTTGTTGCTGGGATGCTCTTGCTCCCTAGGCCTTTACCATCCCAGTTTTTCAGTTATTTTAGAGCCTGCTAGCCCAAGCTTGTTAGAGAATTAGAGCTTAATGGTGGGAGATGGAAAAACTAAAGTGAGCTGTACAAAGGGCATCAAAAGCACAGCTTAATCAGAAGGACAGAAAACTGCCATTAACTAAAGTAACATTGATTGTGAACAATAACATTGCTAACACACAGTTTTCAGGCAGGAAAAGTATTTTTTTTCACAAGACAGTATCTGTTTACCACGTAGATTGGTTCCTGACCTATTTCTCAGAACAGTGAGTTAAATATCTGGATTATTGAAAAGTAATTACTTTCCACTTTCCACCTGCTGGAGTGACTTTGAATTTCAGATCTGCCTCAGTCTTTCCACAGGACTGTCAAATTACAGCATCAGGTAAAACACGCACAGACTGGCTAGCTGCTTGTGTAAACAGAGATGTATTAAAGGATTGGCTAACATTTTCAAGAATGGCTAGTGATAGCTGGTGCCTTGATTTTTAGGAATTAGACATTCTTATGGGGCAGGTATTCAGAGGGCTGGTGCTTAGAGCTTTTTGGACACACCAGCCTCTCTCCATAGCCTTTTAAGAACATATACACTCATTATTACTGACTTATCTTAGTTTTGGTATATATGTAAGAATAAATATTCACCCCAAACTTCAGAATCATTTTCTTTATTGTTCCTGATGGCATCAGACTAACTCTGATCCCATGGGCTGAGTACATCAGGTACTCTCCTTCAGCGCATCTTCCAGTCCAGTTTCCCTACAGTGCTCCTATGTGCCTCTCCCAGGACGGAAGGAAGACATTCCTTGCCCCTGAACTGGTGGCATGTGGGATTCATACAACAGTATGAATGCCTCAAATAACATAAATTCAAGGAGGATGTCTGCCTTCTGTTCCTTTGAGGCACATATACCAATATCTTTATAAATTACTTGAATGTGACTGAAAGAAATTTTAGTACTGTAGTTTTGCCTGTGCCCTTTCAGAACTCATTAGCTTTCACTGGTGTTTCAGCTGTTCCAGAGATTTCTTGCTGGAGTGTCTGCAGCCACCTGAGAAACAGATATTGGCTGATCAGTTTGAGAGCAGCGTCATGTTTTGAAAGGAGTTACTGTGAATTGTCCAGTTTTGCAACTGTGGGCATTTGTGATTTGCATTGTGGATATGCCTCACCTTGGCAATGACAGGTACCTACCAAATAGTTCTGTTAATAAATAGGTAAAAGCAGCAGCTGACCCACACAGCACTCCCCTCAAACAGGCTGCTGAACATCATAGAATCATAGAATGGTTAGGGTTGGGAAGGGCCTTAAGATCATCTAGTTCCCAGCCTCCTGCCATGGGCAGGGACATCTCCTAATATGCAGTGGCGCTTCTCTAGTAATTGTCAGATCGGCTGTGTATCTCTTATTCATAGGTTTCTATGAGTGTGTTAGATTGCATACTGCAATCAATTGAAATCAGCTCTATTCATTGCATTAGACTAATTTTAATCCCTTAAAAATAATTCTAAACATACATCCCTTTACAGGCACATTCAAAATGCCAGCCAGTATGACACACCATGCTGACATTTGAAGACATCTGCAGAAAACAAAGAGGAAAGTTATATCCAGAGGTAAGATGGGTTTCCAGTTTCTGGTGAAACTATGTTGTCAGGAGAAGAGGAAGGGAGGGAGGGGAAGGAACAAACTGAGTTTCAAGGATCAAATTGAGTTCAGGGCAGATGCTGGAGAGACAACAATGTTTCATTTGGCACTAGGTGCACAGAACTGACAAGCAAATACAGAAACTCTTGTTTAACTCTCAATTGGTGCATTGTTTATCTACGATCTGAGGGTATGACCTTCCAGAAGGCTGTAAGCTGTGAGGCTTAACACTGCTGCTTGTCAGTTCATAACAGTGAACTGACCCTATGTGAGAAGAACACAGTACACAAATGCGACCACAGATTGTTGAACATGCCTTAAATCAAGAATGAGAGTAAAGGAATTTGGTAAAACACAGAACACTCTACAATCCTGAAAGGGGCCAGTACGTTACAGTTCGAACTCCATTAGCATTATTCTGTTGGCTCAAAAGGTGACGGCAAAGAACAAATTAACGTTGTTTTGCCAGGAATATTTGTGACATTGTTCATCATTTCATGTTTCTTTTAAACAACAGTAGAGGCAATGTCAGTATTATTGCTCAAACCAAACTCAGATAATTGCTAAAGGCAACCTAGTCCTACAGAAACACAGAGAAATACTGTTCTTGTATTTCCACTAGCAGAAGATTGGGGTTTATAGCAGATATAGTGCATGATTGAATCTGAAATATTACAATAACTACCTTGTGCTTAGGACAAGAAATAACTTTCTGTTGGCAGTGTTTAACATTCCAATGGCCACACGCCTTGTCCAGAACATTTTAAAAACAATAAAGTGGTTTTGGAATTATGGAGAAAAAGGAACTACAAATTGCAAAGGATTTGGGAGCTACTGGAAGTTATGCTAATAACCAGAAGTTTCAACCTCCTTTAACTTTCTAAGGGCAGCTTGAAAAGTAGATACAGGAATAAGCTACAGAGTGACCAAGCTACTGAGTGATCATGAGAAGTGTGTAACTGGATTTTTTTCTCACCCTGACATCTTGTATAACAAGGAGATATGGAAATTTTTTCTCTAAAGGATGGGAATAAAGATGATATAGGTAAAGCTCACAAAAACCTCAACATTTCTGGGTGCAGGTCAGAAAATGCTTTTACAGAGGGATAAGTTCTGCATGGATCCAACTATCAGGCCTTCCCAAAGTCTTTATCATAGAATCAAAGAATGGTTTGGGTTGGAGAACTTAAAGACCACTTAGTTCCAACCCCCTGCCATGGGCAAGGACACCACACACTAGACCAAGCTGCTCCGAGCCCTGTCCAACCTGGCTTTAAACACTGCCAGGGATGGGGCAGCCACAACTTCTCTGGGCAACCTGTGCCAGTGTCTCATCACCCTCACAGTAAAGAACTTCCTAATATCTAACCTAAATCTACCCTTTTTCAGTTTAAAGACATTCCCCCTTGTCCTATCACTAGTTGCTCTTACAAAAAGTCCCTTGCCAGCTTTTTTGTAGGCCCTCTTTAGGTACTGGAAGGAATTATTTTATTTATATTATATATTTTACAATTTTATTTTGAAAAGCACCTGGATACACTTTCCAGAAGTTAAAATACACTAAACATGAAGCCTGATGTCCTACCTATGTTTAAACATGTAGAAATGTTAGTTAACAGATGCAGTGAATTAACATAAATTATGTTCAAACATGAATAGACATTAGGAAAAAAAAAAGGCTCAAAAAAAAATGAGATCCATGGAAATTCATGAGCTAATGATAAGAGACTTTTGTCTTGCAAATTAGGATATATAATACAAACATACAGTATGACTATTAAAGAATAAAATATGAACATTAGCAATATCTGACTTTTCTACGGGATGTAATAATCTCTGTGGACAATAACAAATCTGCACTTCAGCCATTCAAAGGAAATTGGAACAATAGCTCTGGAGTTCACAAAAATAATTTTAGCAGAAAATACAGTTTCAAATAACAGAGCCCACAGCACTGTACAGATCTGCACTATGATACTAGCTTTGTCAGTAAGCAGGACTTGAATGGCATTTCCACTCTGAAGACCTTCATTTCTTTAACACCAACCCTATCAAGATACCTAGTGGGAAGAAGGACATACGGGTCTCTGAGTTCTACCTATAGTCAGTCTGGGCTAAACAGGATTTCCTAACCTTAATATGAACCTCTACCAGGCAACAAAGCACACTAACTCTTCCTACCTCCAAAACAGCACTGAGTGACATCTTAATGCCAGGAGTTATTCCACAAGCTTTGGCTGAGAAAGACTGCAGGCAAATTCCCACTCCAAATTCTCATGTCTCTCACTTCCTTCACCCTAACCCTCAAAATACCACAATCACCTTGCCCAACTAGCAGAAAGATCATGGAGCTAGAGCTCTGTCCTGACCCCAGCCTTCATCATTAGTCTTCCAGGTAAGCAAGACTGCAGTGATATTAGCCCTATCTATAACCTTAGTCCTACCCAACTGCAATACATACTGATCCTCTCCACCTCCAGAATAGCACTGGGCACTAGCTCTGAGCTTTCCTTGACACTAATGCAATTTTCACTCTCAAGACTCACATTTCCCTGTCTGTTATGTATAGCCTAGTATTTTTTCACTAATTAAATGAATTGGGGGGTTTTTACCCATGAGAGAGAGATATAACCATCTAAACTGTTTGACAAAATCAAGATTTTTACAATTTAATTAGAAACTGCATGTTTCTTATTTGAAGTGGAAATATAAGCCCATCATTTGGGAATACGTAAAATTTTAAGGGAAAAGATAAGGTAGGAGTTGACAGTAAATGTGAAGCTGTAATTAAATTTTAAAATAAAACAATCTTGCTAAGGGGAAAGAGTGAAAGCATATGAAAAAACAAGTGTTAAAAGAGAAGGAACTTCTTGCTGTGCTGCGTGTAAAGTAATTGAACAATAGTTTTGTTTGAGAAATTCCTCTTTGTCTTCAAAGAATCTTCCTTAAACTCTCTAGGCCTCTGTTCCAGCCTTCTCTGAACTTGCCGCCTTAGTTTCTGATTCTAATACACAAAAAGGAAACATGCAAATAGCACAATTCAAATCACCCAAAATCTTCATATAGGCCTCTGTAATAACTGGCTCAGCTGCCAGTTCAAGCTTTCAACAGCTCAGCTGCTGTTCAAGCTTTCATCTCATTTATTCATTGCAATGTGCCCTCCGGCTGCATTGAAGTGTAGGGGGATTGCTCTTGCCTTAGGGCAGTTTGCATGTACAAAGAACAGTGCTGCCTTATAGCAGGCTCTTTTAGGGCTCTGAATCTGAAAGGAGCCCTTCACTCAAAGTCCAGTGCTGTGAACTGCGTATGTGCCCTGCAGTTGCACCAGAACTGAAGGTCGGAAGAGTCTGGCTTGCTTTGCCTGTGTGTCCAGGATGCATGAATTCATACACTGTCTTTGGGAAATGATGGTGCTGCACAGGACAGGCTCTGATAAGGAGTTTTTTTTCTTGTACTGTGTTCAGAATGGAAAAGTGAATTTCCAAATCCAGGCAGTCTCCACTGGCTCCATCTGGAGCATAATCACATCAACAGTTGAAAATATATGCAATGCATAGGCCTGGCCTGAAACTGATTTTATACACATATACAGTTATTATCACAAACAAGTGAAAAGTTTCATCATCCTACACAAATCAAACTTTGATCATACTTATATTCACACAAGGTCTGTTTAGTGCTTAAAAGGAAGAATCAGTACCATTTTGCAGATGAAGAAACTGTGGCTAACAGGAAAAGTAACTTGCCTGAGGCAACACAGGTCAAAAGAAGAACAGAAAAGTGACTAACAGGCAGGAATTCCAGGTCTTCACTCAGACCACTAGCAAGTTGAACCCTTTTATGCAGTCCAAATCCTGTTGCATGTAGCTGCTGCTTTAAAAGCAGGGAGCAAAATTGACAAGATGTAAGTCAGGGTGGTTCTAACATAAAAGCCAAACAAATCTCTAGGTGCTAAATAAGCGACTTGTTACAAAGGCACCTCAAATGCACAACTGTTTCTTCCAGAAATTTGAGATTGGTTATAATGTGCATAAGAAATGGACTTTTCAAAAGCAAACATGTGAAGACCAATTACCCTTTTGTGTAATTTCACTGATTAGGAGCTTTGAACATAACAGAAAAACTGCTGTGTTGTTTTTTCTGTTTGTTTTTTTTTTTTTTATCGATTGGTTTCGATTTGTTTTGTTTTTTTTAATTTGACAGCTTTGCTTCATGCCTGAAGGACATAAGGTTTCTGGTTTTACCTTGTAAAGTAACTTGTTGCCTGGAGGTCCGAGTCCTGAGGACGGAGGTTATCATACACATACTTCAGATCCTGAATGCTGTTTAGCTCAGGCAGTCCTGCATGCAGCATCTTAAAGGAGAGAAATATCATTAGCCACTGGCCTACTGAAAAGAAATTTAAATGAAATGAGGCTAACTCATTTCAGAAATAAAAGTTTACGTCAAAAGGTCTTGTAAAACACAAAGTTTTGCTGTCTTGAAAAGTGTTTCTGTTACAAAAGCAATGCCTTCAATACTAAGGTGAATATATTGCATCATAAACCTTCACACTGAGGTACCAGTACTGAGGCATGGGTTAAAATTACCAATCCATTTTAGCTATTTATTTTCTCTTTGGATTTCACAATCTCAATGTCTGCATTGCTAAACTTCCTTCACAGCCTTCTAATGGTGATAAAGGGAAGGCAACCAAATTCAGCAACCTGAACAATAGTAACCATATTTCTGTTATGCTCACAGTGTTACCATACTCTTACTCCAATTTAGCGCAACATCACCTTCTCATTTGTAACTACTGATTCCACCATCACCGCTCTGGACTTCTCCTGCATAGGGATCATAGATTCACTCCCTTTACAGTCAGTGGAGAAGAAAAGATCTTTGAGATGTTGATTCTTAGCAGGAGCCTTAATGTGGGCACTGAGAACTGCCCTCTGGGAAGGGTATCATTCTCCATCAATGACAGATGGTGCTATTCTAGTTAGTTGGTCAAGTTAGGTTTGAAAGACAAATAATGCAAATATTTCCCTTGCAAATTAGGGAACAAGTACAACACAAGGAGGGTAGGCAACTGAGTGCACCCAATTGCCTATACAGCTCTCTCTAGGCATTTTAAAATGTCAGCAACAAAAATAATTTTTACTTACTTCAAAACCTATTGATTTTTCTCAACAATCAGAGTAAGATGAGAGCAATGCTTTGTGTGTAATGGAGAAAAAATCACTCCACATTCCTCAGAAGGAAATTTATCTGAATTTGCAGTCACTGCTGTGCACTCTTCATTGATATTTATGCCTAGCTCAGACATAAAGACCCACCAAGTTTTGCAAGTAACAGCAAAGAAAGAAGAAAGCACTGCTTTTATTTTAAGGATTGGTTGAGAGATAAATAGAGCGAGGGGAAAAGAAATGGGGGGGGGGGGCATATTTTATTTATGCCTTCAAACCTTCTCAATATTTTTAAGTCAAGTTTCAATATTTTGTATATTTTCTTCCTGGCATTATGAGAAAAATCCTGCTTCATATCACCCCAAATCTATATCACCATTGGACAGACTGCTGTCCCACAGAGGTCTGGCTAGCAAGGAGCAGAGAGGCAAAAAGCTAAATGAGGTGGATTTAAGAGAGGTGAGAGCAAGGGTAATAGCATTCAGCACTTAAGAATGCCATCTATCTAAATGCCCTCAACCCATTTATAAAAGATAACAGCTCCTGTCCCTTTAAAAAAAAAAAAAAAAAGAGTTGTTGCACAGGCAAATTAAGCTTCTTGCCTTACATTAGGAAAGGGAACAATACTAGATATGAACATGATCTAAATGATCTGTAGTGAAACTGAAAACCAAGGTATGGTATGGGTTTTAGGTTCTCTGTATTGTAGAAGGTAGAAAGCTATTTGCTGAAGCAAAAAACCAAGGAGTCTTTGGCTGGGCAATACTTGCATAGTGCTTTGCTGTCTGCAAGGGAGTCCTAGAGGCTTATTATACTGCTTCCTCCCTTTTATTCCATGTAGCATACGGTTCATGTTTCCAGTCCCTTGATGGAGGAGGTTTCTGAACACTGTGGCTAGTGATACTAGATGCTAATTAGAGAAGACATGAAACAACTGTTCTGAAAACAACTACAGGTCTCCTAAGGCAACTCAAATGTCACTAGATGCCTAAGTTTAAGTGATTTCATTGCTCCCCTCATTTGGCCACACATGTCCTGACCTACCACACTTGGTTATCCCAGACGTTCTGACTTACTGAGTGAAGCTGCCTACACCCTCCTTGGGCCTGGATTCAGACGTGGTGTGTGACACCCAGCCCATCATCCCATGAAAAATTAATAGCAGTGGCATGTACTTGCCATGTGTTAGACCTACAAAACATGGAGGTTTCTGGATTCTCTTTTCCCAAATGGCATTCCTGAATTTAGAAGGGTGAAAAGACTAGTATGTCTTTTTACAGGGGACACAGGATTCTCAGCTCTTAGATGTGCTCTGTTCTAGGTACTGTGAACCTATTTCTTGTCACAACGGAGGCAAGTGGATCAACTACTTGCTGTCTAGCGTCATCTCTAAGCCGCTTTTAATAGTTTCGTACCTGTAACAATAATGGATTCTGCATTTCTTTAAACTAGTTAAAATGTGTTTGTGTCCCCCAATCACCCTCTTTATCACAGTTCACATCAAATCTTTAAAGAGAGCAAAGCCGATGAACTACAGGTGCTTATATAGCTGAACTCTGCCAGCAGACTCTTGGGTTTCCCACAGATGTTTCTGCTTTCAAAAGTGATGAAAACTTCATGGATTATTTCTTATTCCCAGCAGCAAATGTCAGTACAGCTCTAGAAACATGCTGCTCACCACCAAGAAAAAGCATTAACTCCCAGACTGGGCCAAAACCCCCAAACTGTTCATAATCATGGTTTGCTAGAAGGCACTAACAGTTACCAACCATCCAGGGCACAGTTTGCTACTCATTTTTGGAAATAGCCTTATTGCTTAGATTTTTTTAGTCATGCTTTATAAACAGCATCTCAGAAAACAGGATGTGGGAGGGGGAAGGAAAGATGTAGACAGTAAGAGGAAACCTTAAGCTGTCATTGTTACAAATAAGCAGTGGTTAGTTTATCTTGCCCCTTCATGATGATATCTGATATTCTGCATGGAAATCAATTTAAAGTGCAATTTTTTCACACTCTGTTTACTTTTCTAGAAATGAGCCATGGAACTAAAACATTTTGATACTTACACTTTCTGACCAACACCCCATTTCAACTGCAGAGCCAGACTCATCCTTCCAAACTCTGGCAAAACTAAGGCAAACCTCTCTTGTTTGTTTAATTTCCCTTGATATGAAGTGCTCATCGATGGGGTGTGAGTACACTGCCAGTTATTTTTCAATTATGAAATGCAGTACAATTGACTGAACTGCAGCCTATTGACAAATACTAAAACCTATCTGTATGAGTTTTAGCTCAGCACTATTACCCCTCCTTAAAGATCAGCAGAAACAGAGGAAGACACAGCATGTCCTGAATATAGACAAACCTGAGTTATAGTCAGGCAGTGATAGCTAGTTATTTCAGTGCTCCTGCTGGGAACATTTTCCTAACAATCTGTCTCTATTATCCCAGAGTAATCTAACATCATTATCTGTGCTGCTTGCACAAAAGAGACTGCACTGGGGACAAGAAGGTGGGCAGAAGATGTAGCTATATTTGCAGCTTGCAGTTTTAGGCAGCCTCTTCAGAAATTCAGGGATTACTGCTGAGGATGAGAAAGTAGGGGTGCTCCTGAGTATTCCAGAGGCTATTTAACTTTGACAGTACCTCATGCAACTGCGCTCTGCATTGCTTTCAGTGCAAAACTATGCTTTATGATGGGAGTGCAGGTTTGCTGCATCTTCTGTGATTACTTAGAAGCAGGGTTAAGAGATCTGGGGCAATCTTTCCTGTTTCATATTGGGAAATCACTCTGCCACTGTATGAGAATCCATGGACAAGATAGAAAAAAAAGAAGATGAGTAAATTCTCCCCATTGCAGAAGTTGGAAATGAAAAGGTAGTATTTACAGAGCAACTTGTTGGCTGTACCCCAGCCTCAGCAAGCATTCTGTTTTTAAGGTTGTGTTGATTTTTCATGCACAGGCTAGTCACCTAGGCTTTGCATGGCGCCCTGGACATAAGTTTTGGATTAGTATCTTAGCCAAGCAACTTAGCAAATATTAGCTAATTTAATATTTTCATTCTACCTATGAACAAACAAATTAACAGAGGCATAAAGCAGTTATGGAATCTGCCACAGCATGTGAATTGGTAGGAATACTCAAGAGACAAAAACTTCTAGAGATCTGAAAATCCTATACAAAAGGATTTTTAAATCTTTGTCAATACATGAAGTGATCTTTCTTTCCTGTGTTTGCCATCCTAAGAAGGGACTATGGAAATGTAAAAAAAAACCATTCTAATGGTGTCATTGTTAGCTTCAACGCTGCTAGGTACTGTTGTATCATCCACTCTGCAAAATATTTAGTTTACTTTGTCTTGCTGTAACCATGAACAGAATTGGTAAATGGTTTCTTGAAAACCTAGAAAAAGGTCTGAGTGAAATCCCTGAATGTGGAACTTGCACCCAGCTTTGTTTGCAGTTTTCTACTGCTTTGTAAGAAGTGGGCATTAATAAATGGAAAAAAACTCCCAAGCAGCTTAGCTTTTCTTCTCTCAGAAATTAGTACTGAAATTGGATAGTTTCTTTGCACAGGAAGTACCAGCACTAACATTTCCAGCAGTGCAGCTGATACCTCTTTAAATCACAGTGTTACTGGAGACAGCAGAGAAGTGGCAAAAGGGAAGAGGACACGAGAGGAAATTGATTTTTGGTTTCATCCTCAAACTTCTTACCATCTCCAACAGGTTCAAGAGTAACTGGCTGTGTTTCCTGACTATATTATAAGCTCGACAACAAAGCTCCACAAACTCTTGAAAACGCTGTGGGTTTTTTCCACCTTCTGTGATGAAATACTCCATCTCTGATGTGAAGATGAAGGGAGCTCGGTCCCTGGAAAAGAGAACAATTACATGAGAAATTTCACCAAAAATAGCTAATCATGCAAGATAGTTGATGTTTGTAGCTCATTCTTCACATTTCTTTTTCCAGTATTACCTTTCTCGTTATTTCATCTCTTCCTTCCTCAGTGTGGACAGCTCTATTGCTGTGCCTGGTGTCACTGACTAATTGGGGCAGAGACACGTTTCACAGCAAGAGCTTCCTAGTGAGAAATACCACAACTGAACAAGTTTGGAGCTTACATGCTTTCTTCTGTCTCTTCTTTGTTTTTCTTTTTAAACTCTCATTGTGTTAATTTCTCAACTTCAGCCTGAAAGTAAATCTAGAAACAAGTTCTCAAAGAGGATGTGATAAAAATACCAACTCCCTACTAGGCAAGAAGTGAATTTAAGAAAAAATCCTACAACACAGTCCAGACAGAAAAAAATACAACATATGATGCTATCGTTATGTGCACTGAAGGGATATTTCTGACCCAAGTTTTAACAGAATAAACTTAAAATACATTGTCTTGTTTTTTGTGCAGTTACTATATTCATTCTACAGTAAATGAGGTGCAGAATCTGACATAGTGCCTTGCCTTTTTTTCTTATCACTAGTATGGTTTGTGGTTATGGCATGCTATTGCAGAAGAAAACTGATTAGCCAGGCTTCTGCTAACAATCCTATCATTTGATAGCTTCAGAAAGGCATGATATACTGCATCCTCACAGACAGAACTACTGCAGTGATTTACTCATCACAATTGTGTATACAGAGGCATGTAAACAGATTAGAGGGCTATATTCCAAGGAAGCATACACTGCATATTAACCCTTAATTCTAAATGAACTTGAATAAATGAAATATTCTTAGGAAGCCTGAATACAGAAACAAATTTGAAGATCTCTCTTTCTTGCTAACACCTCAAACATAGGCTGAGTCTGAACTTACTCTGATTACTGATTCATTCAGAAATGAGACAGAGAAGTTTTCCTAGGAGTTTTCCTCATTTTCCCATAAAAACACCTGCCTTGTAATACAGAAAGAAAGTCAAGTTGCTGTGAGACTCAAGGCTGCAGCTGGAAGTCTAAGTTACAAGAAGTGTTCAGGTGGCCTTCACATTCTTATGTTTGGAAAATCTTCCTGATTCACACTGAAACTAACTTTGAAACCAATGAGCCAATGAGGAAAGGTGTGCTGCTGGACCTTATACTAAGAAACAAGGAAGGAACGGTTGCTGATTTGAAAGTTGGGGGTAGCTTGGAACACAGTGACCATGAGATCATGGAGCTCAGTATCATTCAAGGAGGAAGCAGGGCAATAAGATTGCAACCATGGATTTCATGATAGATAACTCTGGCCTCTTCAGGGACCTTTTTGAAAGAATTCTGTGGGAATCGGCCCTAGAAGAAGACCGTGGCAACTACAGGCCAGTCAGTCTCACCTCAATCCTTGGAAAGGTGATGGAATGGCTCACCTTGGAGGCCATCTCCAAGTACACAGAAGACAAGAAAGATATCAGAAGTAGTCAGCATGGATTCACCAAAGGGAAATCATGCTTAACCAAACTGACTGCTGTCTACAATGGTACAACTGGCTGGATAGATGAGGGGAGAGTGATGGGTGCTGTTTACCTGGATGTCAGCAAGGCTTTTGACACCGTCATAAAATCAGAATGATTTTGAACTAATTGATAGACATTTTGAGCATCCGTTGGGACGGAAATGACCTTAAGATCATTTAGTTTCCATCACCCCTGCCATGGGCAGGGACACCTCACACGCTCTGTCCAACCTGACTTTGAACACTGCCAGGTTCTTTGGGCAACCCATTCCAGTGCCTTGCAACCCTCACAGTAAAGAACTTCTTCCTTACATCTAACATGAATTTATCCTGTTAAGTTTGAACCCATTACCCCTTGTCCTATCACTATAGTCCCTAATGAAGAGTTCCTCTCCAGCATCCTTGTAGGTCCCCTTCAGATACTGGAAGGCTGCTATGAGGTCTCCATGCAGCCTTCTCTTCTGCAGGTTGAACAGCCCCAACTTTTCTAGCTTGTCTTTGTATGGGAGGTGCTACAGCCCCCTGATCATCTTGACTCTCATGGCATCCTCGTAGGCAAGCCCAGGAAGTGCATGCTGAACAAGTGTCCCCCAGGGGTCCCTACTGGGTCCAGTATTGTTCAACTTGCTCATCAGTGACTTGGATGAAGGGATGGAATGCCTCCTCAGCAAGTGGCTGATACCCCAGAGTGCTGTGCTGTCGTTCAGAAGGATCTAGACAGGAATAATCCCATGTTTCAGCACAGGCTGAGAGCTGACTTGTTAGAAAGGAGTTCTGCAGAGCAGGAACTGAGGGTCCTGGTGGACAACAAGTTATATTATATGATTTCAGATAGGTAGAACTAGGAATGATGAAGTTATAGTAGTTCCACAATAGTAGTTCTTTCCTACCATGTTTTTCTGCCTGAGTTCATAGTGTGACAGTTATAGTATGTTACATAGAATTGTGTAGTTTTATGCTGTAGCTCTAAGAGAATTAAAAACTTGTGTCTATTACTGATTTCAGAGAGCAAGATTTCCCCAAAATCTTCTTTCATTCATTCGTTAGCTTATCTTTGGTTTAGCAGTGGTATTTAAAATAGATATTCAGTATTAAATAAATTAATACATTTAGGGTCATGGAAGTCAATTTGTTGAAGAAAATAAGAAAGAGAGAGAAAATCAGCAATGTTAACATTTTCACTAAGCAGTGGCCAGAAGTCCAAACCAAATCCTGATTTGAAAGCATTTTATCATCTTGAGAATAAACAAACCCCAAATCTGTTTCTCACCTGCATTATGTTTTGGGGCTAAAATATTCCAAGTCAACACTATTGTTGTAAAGGTTCCATATTAGGTATTTTGTTCAAAATTAATATTTGTTTTCTGATGTCCAACTACATCAAGAGAGACAATTACACTATAAAAACACAGCCTTTTCTGAGCTAGTCCAAGTCTCCTGCATTCAGCCACTTGAGCTGAAAACAGATACTGCAATCAGAAATTTCGTTATGGGGAGAAATATGGTGTTAACATTGTTGGTTTGGGCTGTGGGCCAGTTTCCACATAATGCAATGACTGCAGTGCTAGTCAGTTCCCTTACTGTTGTTGTTAAAGGATCCAGTTGAATATATAATTGATATTTATATTACTTGCAGATTAATTTTATTTGTAAGATAATTTTAAGCAGTTTTACAAGGTTCTTAAATTTCTAAGGTCGTAGACCTGTCCTCCATTATTAACCTGCAAAATATGATGTAGAAGTTTGCTTTCCCTGGTTGTGCTCAAGGTCTTGTGATATCAGAGCCCCTCCTGAAAGGTAATTCCTGTAATCAGTCAGATGCTGAAGCTCCATTCCTGCACATGTCTAAGCCAGCTGCTCCTGAGGGGAACACTTTGCAATTGAAATAAAAAATGCATAGAAAACCAATGTAGTATAGGAGACAACACCCACTAGAAGGAACAACACAGTCATTTCTCATGATAATATTAAAAAGCAGAGTTTCAGAGGGAGGAGATGCTTACTCACTGAAAAGTACCATAAAGGATTCTGAAAACCCAAGTGACAGGACTGAATGCCTGCATATAGATGCAAAATGTTCCTTGCAGCTTTCACAAACTCCTTCAGAATATAAAAACATAGAAGGGAATAATATAAAAACATAGAAGAAGATAGTCTAAAAATTACTCCAGCAAAATTACAAACAGCCAAGTCAAGCCACCGTCCATGCTGAATGGGAAAATTTACATCAGCAAACAGAGGATGTTTTAGCCTGCATAAGAAAAAAGGCAGTGCATGCCCTGGTGATGCATGAGGATTCTAATTTATCACACACACACATGGAAATGAACCATACCCTGGTGCACAGCCTGTATTTCTATATTTAAACTAGTACATCTCTAACTGACAGCCTTCTGCAGAATACAGCTAAGATCATATTATATGATGGCATTTATTCAGAAGATATGCAATGTGTCCAAAGGCTTGACGATAACTATGAAAGACATCATTCACTTGAACATACACCTATTAAATAGCTTGCTCACATGAAGTTATCTAAAAGATACAAACATGAAATTAAAACATGCCTTCAAGATCACAGCTAAGCCCTATAGTACTTTATATCCATAGGCTGTTCAAAGACCAATTTGTATTGGTATTACAGCCAACAGGACAAAGAGCCCCTTGGCCTAAAATCTGCACCTATTACAGCTTTCTGCCTCCATCAAATTAATGAAATGACTAGTATTAATTAAACAAAAAAACTCGTATGGTGAAGTATTTTCAAGTAAAAGCCTTCTACTGTATCTCTGCAGAAGAGCTGCCTTTTTTTTTTTTATGGTGTGCTAAAGAAATGCAGAACTCTTGAATGACGTCTACTGGTAAAGTAAAGTGGTAAAGTTGGGTATCATAATTTCTAGGGAAACAAAAAAAACTTCATTGAGAGAACTGGTGTGGCTCGAGATAGACCAAAAATGCACGGTCAATAACCTTCCCAAAATTATTAAAGCTACCTTATCACAGCTCACTCACTCTTTTGGGGGTTTTTTCTTTCTCTCCCCCCCCCCCCCCCCCCCCCCGATGAGATTAATGAGCCCTTTGCTTTTATAACAGAAATCAGTCAAAAAGGCAGTATCCCTGTTTATGGCAGAGTCTGATTGCAGTCCTGGACCTTAAAGACTTATACTTTATGATGGCTGTGACAAAAGAGTTTACTCAAGTGATTCAGTGAGAAGCAAGGCTAGTTTTATGGTGGTTTTATGTTTTCTTATTTTGTACTGCTCTAGAGATTTAAGATTTTCATGGGAATGTGTTTTGCAGTTCCTCTGGAGATTAAGGATGTTTGGATGACATGTCATGAGAGGGAGGAAATAAAGGAAACCTCAGCAACTAAAAAGATCATCATGCAAAAACAAACTTAGTCTGGGGTGATGGGAACGTTTACTGAGGCTTCACTATAGACTAGA